ATTTTTGCCTGGTCTCAAATAAATGCCTGGTCTGTTACGTGATTGAAACAAACACCCCGGCTATTACTGCGTATTTTATAGTAGTTAATTTTTAACAGTTAAATTTCAGTTAACAGTGGTCCATAGTTCTTCCTCACTAACGTTATGCATTCTGAACATCCTAATTATTCACCACAATGAGATTATAATAACTTTTTATAACTTTCAGAGACCAGGGTAGAGTTTGCCATAACGGTAATGCAAAGAACAACTACCATGCATGTAGTATTTTGCTGAAATACATGGAAAAATCTGGTACAGCATCTTTAAAGTAATTCAGCATTCCTTTCTGTAAATACTAAAGGCTGTTGTTGCCAGGAGAGGGCGCAAAACTGTTATTTAGGTTGAAAATGAAAGTAATTTATAGACTGAAAAGATCTGCTAGGTATATGGACTTCCTGGAAGACATGACCCCTTATGACATTATTAGGTGTTTTTAGGAGTGTTTTAGGCTCTTGAGAAGTAAGCAGACCAAAAATGTTGGATTATATGAATGAAACAGAATATAACTACAGGTATATTTTTGACAAGAAAAATGTAATTATAACATGGTAAACACAAAAAGCAGAATATGGGACCTTTAACATGAGAAAGCACTAACAATAAAAAAAAAAATCTACTAGGCCTGGTGTAGTTCCCAGTGTATTCTACTCTGAGGTATTCTGTCTGGTTTCCATAATCCACTTTATTCTGGAAATTGCCGTGGGTGATGCCATCTTCATTTGTGTTGTATTATTTTGAATAAATTTGTGGATCTCCACTCAAAAGTTCTAGATCAGGGGTGTCAAACCCAAATTCACAGAGGGCCAAAATTAAAAACTGGGACTAAGTCATGAGCCAAACTAAATATTTATTGAAAAATTTCAACAACATCTGCATGTTTTCTCTTCTTTCAGGATATGTGATGTTAAACCTTTTCTTATTAAAATAAATGTTTAATAATAGTTTTACATAAACATTGAATCTAGAACAAGCATAATATAAAATAATAACAACATTTTAAATAAATAATGTCTCTATAGCTTAGCAGTAGCAAGCAGGCCAGCTCTGATACATATTTGATATGATCTCATGGACCAAATATAGTTATATCGCGGGCCAAATTTGGCCCCCAGACCTGAGTTTAACATGCCTGTTCTAGATGGACTATAGAGGCATTTTAAACCTCCAAGAGAATCAATGCAGTGTTCACTTCTTTGTCACATAAACATTTTACTCAAATCAAACAACTTTACATCACATTTTAGCGCCCAGGCCTTTTCTCAAATTCTCCATTGAAATATATGGGATTCCCACTTAACTGAAAGTGCCGCCACAAACAAAGTGCGGTTTAGAAGCATTTTGAGGCAAAAGTGGGTGGGGCGGAATAAAATCAATGGAGCTCAACAGTCCTGCACACTTTGAAGTTCACTGGCTGCAGAAGTTAATTTTCCATTAAGTTTCCCCATAGACTTTTCAAAAAATTCAAAAGCATTGCAGAGACTAACCAGCTGTGTGGTAACTAACAGCTGTTTTCAGTCCAAAAAGCACATTTAACACTAAAGATTTGACAAAATGTTTTAATAGTGGTGTATAACAGTTTCAGAAAACAGATTTTATGTAAAATTATAGGTCTTTGTGGCGGTGAAGGTGGAATTATAGTTCTGTGTCGACTCAGCACACACCCCTGTTGTGGCCGTTGTTTTTGATTTATGGATCTGCGTCGAGGTCTAAGTAATTCACCGCCACAACAATGCTAGGAGGCTAGGATTTAAAACTGGCATTCATGTTTACAAAATGAAGCGGGAAAACAGAGTTCCGGAAGTGTATGTAGAGCAGATGTAGAGAACCAATCACAGCTCTTATTGTCTGCTTTGCTTCCCCTGATGTCTGCGTTGGTACGACGAGTAGTTAGAGAATTTTGCAGGTGCACATAGGTCGACGTAGACGCTCTGCAGAGGGGGCTCACAGCGATGGAGACGATTTGACACAAGACCATAAATTGGGCTTTAGTTACCACAGAGCTGATTAGCCCTGAGCATGCTTTTTTTTTTTTTCCTGGAAAGTCTAAATGAATGGGACGTTGACTTCCAGATTTTGGTTAGTTGGGGCATTTTTATTGGACCAATCACAGGCTGGGGGTGGGGTTTGCATCATACTGACAGTTAAGTATGACATCGCAGGTCCTAATGTTGAGTTGTTTAAACTCAAACAGCAGAAATATGGACTTACTGCAGGTGTTTTTATTGTTCAAAATGAGCGCAGGGTCACCTCTCCACAGATCTGACCTGTGATTTGGCCTGATGGCATCACCTGCTTGTCTACAAGAAGGCTGCCACACTGAGGAACATTCCAGGCAAAGCAATAACATCAATGGTTTCTTCATCTAAAACACTCAAGACGGCAGCCACTTTCATCATTCGCTGATGTCACGTGTAACGTCACTCTCTGACTCTAGTCCTGCCTTCAAACGTCCTTTAGACCAAACAGAACCAGACGACCTCCTCTGTAGAATACAATGGGAACGTTGTATAGCTACCACTTACCCCCCATGTCCCTTAGACCTCATGTGTCCAATGTCATTTCAATAAAGTTTTATGAAAAAGAAAAATCATGATGACAAATAAAGATGTCTGACCAGACTTTTTATTATTATTATTATTATTAAACAGAAATTGTAGATCTTAAAAAAATAGCTTCAAATATTGCTCATAGGTTGTGTGTACACTTGTTACTGTGGTCCTAGTTAGTCCTGATCCTGGACTAACTGGAGCTCATGTTATTTCTGAGGTATACCTGCTTTGGTCCTGTTCTAGTCCTGCTTTAATCTAGGTCTAGTCCAGGTTTAGTTCCAAGTTTTGTCCCAGTCTCATGCTTTGATAAAGTAACATAATGACAATATAAAAACAAAGGTAATTTTTTTTTAAATCTAGCACACTGCCCCCTGGTGGTGAAAGATGAAGAACCAATTTGCCATCCAGTCTGTCAGGTTTACTGCACTGGACCAGGAGCAGCAGAGCACCATTGTGCGCTTTGCAAAAGTGGAATTATTTCATGACAAATATTTGAAAATCTGAATAAGCTGAGAATTTCGAATTTAAAAATACATACATAATTTATTGAATGAATTAAATAATTGATCTATTTGTTGTCATACTGTAGACTGTATAAGTGGAAATATCTAACCTGCTAGCTGCCATGTTCCAAATAGGAAAAGAGAACGGGCGCGATTTGCTCCAATTCACTTTCTAGGGAATTCTGCCCTTAAAATGCTGACATAACTCTACATTGTCCTGGTGTTTTTATTTCACTACTTTGTCTGTAAATCAAAATATGAAAAATTGTAACAGACAAATCAGATACCTTCTTTCCCAGAGGTAGGCTCCAGCGAGGTTTGCAACAGGTTTTATTGACAGCTACAGACCATTTTCACGATGTTCAAAATTGCCCGCTGTAGGGTAAACGTCACTTCCGGTTGATGCTTTTCTATGGCAAAATATCCGTGGAAATGTCTTGTGTATTTCCCACCAGCTTCAAAACCTGCCCCGTAACCAAATCTTCAACCTACAAAGTCCACAAAGGATAAACATTCTACCATGAAGATTTTTTATTCTAAAATTAAAATTAAAATTGATTTCTTGATGTAGATATACTATAGATACACTACAGATGTTCACAGACTGCATGTCTCGCATTTAAACTGCACAAATCTCTCAATCTATGCTAATATTGACATAATGAAATACATTTTTTATTTTAACTCTAGAGTCAGTTTGAGTTAACTTACTTATGTTTTATCCATGACCATAATGTTAGTTTTTTTCAGTTGTTCACTAATACAGTAATGTCGTTGTTCGACTTTAAGTTTTTGTCTTTCATACCTTGATAGTTGTTGATAAATTCTTCATGGACAGATTATGTCCTTTGTCGACCTTGTTGGATGAAGATTTGGTGACGGGGCAGATTTGTGAAGCTGCTGGAAAATACACGAGACATTTCCACAGATATTTTGCCATAAAAAAAAACATTAACCGGCACTTCTGACTGTTGTGAAAAAGGTCTATTGTACCTCGCGGCTAAGTGCCCGCCCAAGGGACAAGTACCTGCAACAAACTCCGTCCTGACTGGCTTTGGTATGAAACACACATTCATAATTCCTAATATGAATCTTGAGTCTAAATTAGCCACTATAACTTCTAGACTTGATCGGCCAATTACCTGGAGTCCTTTAGTGCTCTCTATACAGTCTGTATTTGCAGTACATTTTCATATTCTTTCAACAATTTTTAGGTTTAAAAAAAGTTTCAATGGTGGTCATCTGGACACTATTTTTGCAAGATGTTTAATCTTCAGAGGTCATTTTAAATTTGATGGAAATGGCTTGACACACTAGGATTTATTCTGCTCTGAGTTAATGAAGTGAAACTGCCCTGCCCTCGTTTACACCTAACATCATTATAGTCTTTGTGTCCTTATTGTGTGTTGGCTGTGTCACCTTTAGCATTGTTTTGTACTTGACTAGCATTTATTTGGCTTGTTGTGGTCTTATTCCAGCTGCGGATGGTGCTTCTGTTACACTTGATCAAAATCTCAATCCACCATCTCTGTTCAAAGAAAGACTCTCTTTCTTCACAAAAATAGCTTCTTTCACTTTTGTTGCAAATCAGTTTCTCCCTCCGCTTAAAATCTGCCCCTCGCTGTCTTCAAATGAGTGGTTTGTGGTCTACAAGGAAGGACTTGAGCTGGACTTGTGGACTAAGATCCTAGTTCTTCAAATCAGTTCCATCAAATGAAAAAGAGCTTCTGGATGGAGTTGAAAAGTTTCCAGAAGACCAAAGATGGAAACTTCTTGACACTGAACCACTTCTGGACATATGAAAAATCACAACTTATTTCTATGACTTCATATAAATAAGGATGACCAGTTTAGGAACTGCAGGTTAGGACGGACCTCCACAGTTCTTGGACGTGGTGGAGCTGGACTACACATCAGTGCTCTCTCTGTCTCTGTCCTTGGGGCTGCCGGCCTCCCATTGGTTGCGAGAGCGCAGGTTGTGCTCAGGCGACCGGACCTGGCCAATGGGGATGCGGTATGTTTTTAAAGTCCCTGTCATCAGCATCATCAGGGTGGCCACTATAGTTGCTGCCCAACTGCATGCTGGGAGTCCTATCTAGAAACAGAAGAGCGCAATTAGAGACAAGTCAGTGATCAAGAAGTTAAAAATAAGTCCCATATAGTGACCCACCATACTAATAAAGAAAAAGAGCACATAGTTAGCAATTATTTACAATTTTGAAAGAGAAACTGGCGAAGAAATTTCAACTGGCTGCATTCACATTTGAGAATTGACGGCAAATTGTACCATATAATTCTAAAGGGATTCTAGAATATTGTGAGTGCACATGAACACCACCTCTGGTTTCTTCAGACCACCATTAACAGTTATGGGGTTACTCAAATGAGTGGGTGCTGCAGGAGATGCGTACCGTCCCCAGGAGGTTGCTCAGGGCGATGTCCATGTACGCGGAGAAGAAGCCTGCATACACACAAGCACAAGAAATATAATAATTTTGACAATTTTAGTGCAAACAGGGTCAGTGCGCTTGTGATGTAGGTTGACCGTGAGCAGACTGGGGTTCAGTGAGTAAGGGTAAAAACACAGACAAAGGCGTAAAGATGTGGTCCACAGTTTTACTTTTTTAGTTTTTCAATCAATGTTTTATCGATAAAATGCTTTTAAAAAATCTTGCTGTAAAGTTGCCGTAAAGTTGATGTAACGTTGCTGTAAAGTTGTGGTAAATTTGCCGTAACGTTGCTGTAAAGTTGTGGTAAAGTTGATGTAAAGTTGCGGTAAAATTGATGTAAAGTTGTAAAGTTGCTGTAACGTTGTTGTAAAGTTGCGGTAAAGTTGATGTAAAGTTGCGGTAAAGTTGATGTAATGTTGCTGTAAAGTTGTGGTAAAATTGATGTAAAGTTGCAGTAACGTTGCTGTAAAGTTGATGTAAAGTTGCGGTAAAGTTGATGTAACGTTGCTGTGAAATTGTGGTAAAGTTGATGTAAAGTTGCGGTAAAATGTATGTAAAGTTGTTGTAAAGTTGATGTAAAGTTGCTGTAACGTTGTTGTAAAGTTGCGGTAAAGTTGATGTAAAGTTGCGGTAAAGTTGATGTAATGTTGCTGTAAAGTTGTGGTAAAATTTATGTAAAGTTGCGGTAACGTTGCTGTAAAGTTGATGTAAAGTTGCGGTAAAGTTGATGTAACGTTGCTGTGAAATTGCGGTAAAGTTGATGTAACATTGCTGTAAAGTTGCAGTAAAGTTGAAGTAAAGTTGCGGTAAAGTTGTGGTAAAGTTGATGTAACGTTGCTGTGAAATTGCGGAAAAGTTTACTGTGCCTTTACTATAGCTGTTAAAAGAGCAATCATTTACTCATCTCACACAGAAAGTTGAATAATCCAGATCTGATTCTACTGACTGTAAATGTACCCAGTGAGTGGATCTTACCGCTGGCGATGGCGAACAGGTGCGTCCTCCAGCTGAAGGTGAAGAAGAGTCCTCCTACAGCCATACAACCCAGAGCTCCGTTAAACCCGGAGAGCCCAGAGTACAGGCAGGTCTGAGACACGCCCATGGACAGACCTATGGCACACACACACAACACGTAAAGAGAGTGTGACAGGTTAAACTATACATTTTAAAAACATATTTAACATAATTTCATCAATTCTAGTTTTACAATTTTGTAGAACAACTAACAAATCTTTCTTTTTTACATGGAGTTGAAAATTAAAACTATACTTCGGAATATTCTCCATTGAAGATTATAGCTAATAGTACAACATTTCCTTGGAAACAAGCAGGTGGGAAAACCTCCTCCAGGCCCAAATAAGGTTTATGGAGATGCAGGTTCAACACGTTATTACAGAATTCAGTAAAATATAAACATACAGAAATTATATTATGCTATTTCTGATAGTTTTTTCAGAACGTTTAACCATGTAAAAGTAGCTTCCCCGCACTATTCACCTGAAGTTTTATTTGGAGTGATTCATGCATGTTTGAGAAATCTTTAATAGCTTATTTTCAGACACTATTCTGCTGATACACACCTGTTTTCACGGCCTCTGGTACATGCCCACTGCTCTCTACTCATTTCTTTCTCCAGTTTTATTTTCTTAATCATACGTGGGGTAATTTTGGTACAAATAAAGTGTGATGAGCAGTTATCCATAGGAGGGGCCCACAGCCTGCGGCGCTTTGTTGTCATGACGTTTATGGTGATGTCAGGTCCCATTGGGCACCACAGTTTTCTAACACAGAAGCACAGACTGCATATATACATGGACATAGATAATGTGCTAAGCCGCTCAAATGTTCGAATTAACCAGCACTGCATGATCATGTCGTCTGTTAAAAAAGTTCTATTCATGATGTAGAAAATGTTCAAAGTGTAACATAGTGATGGTGTCATAAATTATAACCACAGAGCACACACAAGCACAACACAATTCTTTTCTCTCTCTTGACACTCACCGGTCAGAGTCCCTATAGCAGAGCCGAGCAGAGCGTGGACGGCCAGCAGGGGGGAGTAGAGCAGCACGGCCCCCAGGATGAGGAGGGAGGGGCCCAGGGCAGAGCAGGCGTAGATCTGCCCCACCCCAAGAGGAATGCCCCGTACGACCTGCAGGGGGCACAAGCACTGGTCACCAACAAGTACTGGTATTACACAGCCAAGTACACCGATGTGTTTACAGTAACATAGAGTGCACAAAAAAATAGAATAAACAGTCCGCTAGAAATGAAGAGCTTCTCACTAATCATTTTAGACATTTATAGGGAGTAAGTAAGTGTCATTATACTGATGGAGGGTGTCAAATGCCTGTCTCCATGGAGGTGTCATTACTTTGCCTGAAATATTCCATAGTATGGCTTTAAACACAGACAGGCAGGGGACAGTCTCCATAGACAGGATTTTAAGTACAGAATTTTAGAGATTCCTTTCAAAAACAGTAAATCTCCCATACAGTTCTATCTTTTTTGAGTGTTTAGAAAAACACTATATCTATAATGAAACACAGCAATAGACCTCGGTCCTTCATCTGAAATTAGAACATGATCAGATTTTAGAACGTGAACAAGATCCCGTTCCATGATTCACAACATTACAATCAAACCATCACAGGCCTTACTATGTATAGAAAACAGGTCAGGGTAATTCAGTCAGTCCTCGTGCTTACATAACAGCTGACAGCAGAGGGCGCAAATGAGCATAGGCTAAAACCATGAATCTGAAAGTTGTCATGATAAATTTCACACTTTTGATACTAAAGAATAAACTGGATACTGTTGTCGAAGAAATTATATATCTCTTGTCAAAGCCTGATCCAGTCACATCTCAGAAGCTAAGCAAGCTCGGGCCTGGGTAATACTTGGATGGGAGACACTGGGAAAATCGGGTGCCACAGGGGGACTCCAGTCACAAAAACTGTCCTTATGCCCTTAGACAAAACACTTTACCCTCAGTGCCTAGTATGAAAGTGGTGTGTGTGAGTGATGGTGGTGGTTGAAGGAACCGATGGCACTGATTGCCATGGATGAATAATACTGAATAATGCTCTGCCAAGTGTCTTTGTGACAAATGTCTGTGAAAAGTGCTATAGAAATAAGTAAAGAAGAAGAAAAAAGTAATTCATCCATTTATGAGTTTTTGGAATACAGACAAAAGTTTATTCTCGTTACAGCAGATATGGACTGGACCTAGGTCTGCCCTGGCCAGAGACCAACAGCCTCTCCTCCCTGAGCATCTCCTACCCAAGCATCTCCCAGAACATCTCCCAGAACATCTCAGCTCTGAGTCTCTGCCCCCAAGGGTCTGAGCTCCGAGTCTTTATACAGAAATGCAAGTTACATACATACCAAAGCAGAGTGACTTTTGTTTCACGGGCTGGTGCTAATCAACTTAATATACACTTGAAGACAGCGAAGACAACACACAGTTTCCTGAGGGTAGGGACAGGTGTGTCTGCAGTTGTCACAATACTCAATACCGATTCTGATACCACGATGATAATGAAAACACTTTCTTTAAACAATAGAATGTAAGTAAGTAAGTAAGACTTTATTTACAGAGCACCTTTCACAGATCAGACATCACAAAGTGCTTTACAAAGTGCAATAAACAACATGTACAAGAACAGAGGAATTACAGACACAGTCAACCAAAAGCTTGTCTAAACAGCAGTATCTTGAGTTGCTTTTTAAAAAAGTCAGTAGAGTCTGCCTCGTGGAGGGCTAGGGGGAGGGCATTCTGTAATTTGGGGGCCACAGCTTGAAAGGACTGATCCCCCCATGTTTTAAAGCCAGACGTTGGAACCATTAAGAGGCCCTGACCTGAGGAGGGTGGAAGGAGCAGTAAGTCACTGATGTACTGGGCGTCTGTCCATTTAGAGCTCTCCATGATCTGAATGTCATTTTTGACATTAAATCGCACTTTCTTTTCTATTCCCACATGGTCTTATCTCTGTGTAATCCGATACTATGAGTGCACAATCACAATAATGTATTACCTAAACTGTGTGTGTGTGTGTCATGTATGTTAATGTGAGCAGGACCAGGCAGCAGGCTTTCTCCACAGACTGGTAAAAATATGCTCTGCGTCATGAGCAGTTCAGAGGGAGGAGAGACCGGAACGACAGGAGCAACAAGGGCTGGAAAAAGACGAGAGACACGAGAGACATGAGCCCTTTCTGGAGAGTAGCTCAGAGGGAGACAGGAGAGACAGGAGTAATAAGGGCAGGGGAGGCAGGTGCGACAGGAGAAGGAGAGACACGGGCAGGAAACACAGGAGTGCTGACGTCCATAAACTTCTGTACAGGGGCAGTGGGGCTAGTGGGCACAGGGGCAGTGGGGCTGGTGGGCACAGGGGCAGTGGGGCTGGTGGGCACAGGGGCAGTGGGGCTGGTGGGCACAGGGGCAGTGGGGCTGAGCACTGGGCATTGGGGCTGGTGGGCACAGAGGCAGTGGGGCTGGGCAGGGGTCCAGAGCTGGAGCAGGATCAGAGGAGCTGAGGACACATGTCTCATTCACATGCTGCACAGAGGAGACTATAAACCCTCCAGAGGCAGCACTAAACATGAGGGCTGAGCGAGGAGCAAACTGTGAACAGAGAAAGAGCCACATTTCCTTGTTTTCATAAGTTCATGAACCTGACTAAGGTCACACTGACGTGGTAAGACTCTGAACTGAGTTCTCCACATGATCAGCCTTAGTTTTGGCTTATTTGGGTGCTTCACCTTTGGCTTTTACACAAACCTCAATACTGCTCTGTGATTAACCCTCACAGTGGGAGTCTCACAAATATCACAAGAATTTAGTCTGGAGGACTAAAGGGGAGAGTGAGGGGAGGAGGAGAAAAAGTTGAACTAATGCAATCCTTCTCAAATGGGGGGTGCAGTGCGATACCAGGGGAGGTGCCTGTGATCTCGAGGAACATGCTTTTTTTTTGCCGTACTAGAATAAAGTGTAATTGCACATCCACTACAGTAGTTAGCAGTAGAGTGTCAGGTTTTTGCACCAAGCAAATGCACACACAGCACAGAGCAGGAGAAATGAAGTGCAGAGAACAAACCCCCAAGAGACATCATGGAAAAACATTTAACAGGGAAGAAAAGAAAGACGTAGAATAGGGCGATAATGAGCAGTCTCCCGAAAGCTAAGACAAGGACATATGACGAAGCGGATGTAGTACTCGGCTTCACTGTGACTACGGTGGGAAACGAGGAAAGACCACTGTGTTTACTGTGTCTAAAAATGTTGGCAGAGGACAGCATGAAGCCAAATAAACTAAAACGTCACTCAAAGACATTACACCCCAATCACGCTGATAAGACACTTGAGTTTTTTCAGTGAAAACGTGCTGAATATTGCAACAATCATCCCGCTTTATGAATACAAATGATACTATTTATAGTCGCGGCGGAAAGTGGAGGAGCGCGAAATGCTTTGTTCTTCCCACGGGGGGCGTGACAGAAAATAACTGAGAAGCACTGACCTAGTGTTTAGTCCCACGTTAATAGTTATATATTATTATTCTACAGTATGGCAACTTAATCTTCATGGAGACAAGCAGGTGATTTACAGATCAGATTTGTGGAGAAATGCTCATGTCTCTCAGTAAAAATATGTTCTAGATATTTCAGAGCAGTGTAGTAATGTAAGTTTAATGCTATACCTTGGAAAATTCCAGACCCCATAAGACACCTTTAATTTGGCCCAAAATGACACAGTGTATGTTTATGTTGTAACACACACCATACTGTTTTACGTGTCTCCGTCTCTCCTGGTTGACATTTCTTTTATTAGACATTTATATTTTTTTATTCCTTGTCAAAAAGCCGTGGCTCTGTTGCCATGGGAACGGCTGACTCATACCTGTTTGTGCTTGGATCCATCTGGAGCGGACATGCCACACTCAGTCTGTTTGTTTTGTGTGCACATTTGGAGTTTTCTACCATCTGCAAATGTTCTATTGACACACAGACACTGATGCACGGTGGTGACTCAACTTGGACGTGTCTCCATTTGCATGTTACGGCAGGTGAAGGTTCAGTTGCGAAAGTGGTTTCTCTTAAAACAGTAAGAGCACAGACTACATTCTGCCTTCTGTTTTCGTCTATGGAGTAAACAATTGTGAAAACTTGTTTGTTGGTGCTGTCCACAGTGGGAAAGGCCAGTACTGGGAGACAACAGACTAAATTGCATCACATTTGGGTCTGCACGTGCCCAGATGCTTCTACACAAACGCTGGTCTCTTACTACAGCAACACACACACACACACACACACACACACAAACTACATCAATTACATCACTTAATTTTACTTTTTGTGTGTGTATTATTTTAAATATGAGAGAAGCATTAAAAAAAACAAAAAACAAAAACTATAATAAACCTGAGCAAACCGATCTGTGCACAGAAACATTAATGTCAAATTATGGTATAAGATCCACAAATAACTGAAATATACTAAATGACTGAAATTCAAAATACCTTATTTTTCATACATAAGGTGCGCCAGATTATAAGGCACATTAAGAGAAACAAACGGACGACCCTTGAGACTGATTCTTTAGTCCAGGCATCCATGATCCATTGGCAGATTGTTGCGTAATTCGCCCCACGTTGCCTCTGTCTTGGTGAATGTGGATTATGAATGTGAATGTGGCTGAATCAATTAAGTTTGTTTTTTATTTCCTATGAGGAGAACTCAAATATACATTGATTACTAATGTGTTTAATGCAGCTTTGTGCACATTTGTTTATGTTTTACAGAAACAAAACTTAAAACCACATGACTAATTTGCATAAACTATAAGGTCTGAAAAAACAGCTCCTTGTGCACTGATGCGGTCAGCTTCTGTTAGACTTACTCCTCGAGGCTCCTGACTATGGTAGCCATAATGCTCCAATAATCCATCAGGTGGTACCACTTTGTATCTTACCAAAGTTGTACTAAAACATTTTGACAGATTTTTGAGCACCGTGTACCATATAAAATTGGTTCAAGGTCAGTCAGCACAACCAGAAGGAATACATAATGCACGCTGTGGATTTTTGAGAAAATGTAAGGATTTTAAATGGGCGTTAAAGTCCAAAAAATATGGCAATACTTATCGAGTAGAAGTACAAAGTAGTGGTCCAAAAGTATTTTTGGAAAAGTATTCAAGAAAAAGTAACTTAAAGAGTAACTGTCAGGATGCAGATGCAGTATTTTGAAGTTAGAGCAAATGTAAGGACAAAACCTTAAATAAATTAGTCACAAAATCTGGTAGACACAAAAATGAGACAAACTAAATCATATTTGAAGGAGCTGAAAGAAACACACATGTTCAGTTCATTTCATAGTCACATAAAGCTTTTGTCACTACGCACAGTGGAGACAGGAAGCACAACTTTTACACAAGTAAGAGTATTGTTACTTCAATGAAATATTACTCCAGTAGGATTAAAGGAAACTGCTAGAAAAGTCCTCTGAAAAGTTCAATGTCTTCAAAGAGGGGGTATATTACTTCTTTTTTTTAGATCACCATGTTAGTAGGGCTGGGTATCATGAAGAAGTTGCCGATACAATACATACCTTGAGACATAGGCCATGATACAATTGATACAGTGCACTTTCGATTCGATATACGGTTCAATAAAAACAATATCTGAATCATGGTTGTGATACTAAAAGTCTGTTAAACCACTTCATGTGCAACAAAACACAAAACATTTTAATCATCAAAACAGTGAAAATGTCAAATGTGACAAGTTTTCTTCCTCTAAACAAACAACAAAACTGTAGCTCTGTAATAAAATTATTTAGTAAAATATACCAAAAAATACTCTTTGCGATATATCAATACAGCAACCCATGATATCGATACTATATCATCACATTAAACGATACGATATATGGATATTTTGATATTTTTGCACACCCCTACATGTTAGCTTTTCTATTTTATTTTATTTTTTAAATGCTATATTCATCTAAAAAAAAAAAAAAAACACATATTAACATGTTTTATAAGTTTCACTTTTGTTTTTGACGCACTGAGTCAAAAGACACTCCTCTTCAAACAGTTGTCACTACAATCATTTAATGAAACTACTGCACATTGCATCGTTTGTAACGCTGGAGTGTATTGTTTTGTATCATATTTTTGTATATTTATGGAGAATTGTCGTGTGGGTGGAGCCTTGAACAGAATCCGTAAGGAGGACCCAGGAGAGATCACTAGATTATTCACACACGCATGGGTGACTCTAAAACCTCTTCAGGCACGTTTGTGATGAGGGAACAATGTTAGAACATGGCTGAAATTCCCAAAAAGTTGATTTTGCAGAAGTCCCCTCTTTAACAAGTTAGTCAAGTAAATGTAATTGAGCTGGTGTCGGGGAAGTACACAGGGGTGCTGACCTGTAGTGCGCTGAGCTGTGTGGCGTTCATGGCCCCTCCCCCTGGTGGGGCAGACAAGTACCGGGGGAAGTACGGGTGCTGAGGGTCTGTGCAGAGGAGGAACAGCACGATGGTCATGTTAAAGGGGAACACCGCCACGGGGAGGTCCCAGCGGTCGAGGAGCGAGGACAGGCTGGAGAACAGGAGCACGCTGGAAACACACACACATAGGTCAGGAGCAAGGCTGTGTTGAGGCAAGTGTGCTAACTATCCACCCATTTACACTAGTTTACTGCTTGTTTGATCATGGTCTTGGTTTGCTTTAGTTCAGATCTCAGTCTAGACCTGGCTGAGTCCAGTTTTAGACTTGGTTTGGTCAGGGTTTATTTTTAGCAGAGATGAGATCCTGTGGTCCCCAAACCGGACCCCCTCCGGCCCCTGACTGCGCCTAGAAATTCTGTCCATAAATACAATGAACAGAACCGGTGACAAAGGGCAGCCCTGGCGGAGTCCAACATGCACCGGGAACAGGTCTGACTTACTGCTGGCAATGAACACAGCTCCTGCTCCGGTCATACAGGAAAGCAAAGGGCCCCAGACCCCATACTCTCAGAGCACCCCCCACAGGACACTATGAGGGACAAGGTCGAATGCCTATGTTCCTTCCCTCACCTATGGTCATGACCTCTGGGTAATGACCAAAAGGACAAGATACAAGCAGTCGAAATGCGTTTCCTCCACGGAGTGGCTGGGCAGTCCCTTAGAGATATGGTGAGGAGCTCAGTCACACAGAAGGAGCTCAGAGTAGAGCCGCTGGTCTTCCATGTCGAGAGAAGCCAGTTGAAGTGGCTCGGGCATCTGTTCCGGATGCCTCCCGGGCATGTCCCACAGGGAGGAGGCCCCAGGGAAGACCCAGGACACACTGGAGGGACTATGTCTCTCAGCTGGCCTGGGAACGCCTCGGGGTCCCCCCGAAGGAGCTGGAGGATGTGTCTAGGGTGAGGAAGTTTGGGAGTCCCTGCTTAGATTGCTGCCCCCACAACCCGGCCCCTGATAAGCAAAAGAAACTGGATGGATGGATATGGCAGCAAATGTTGTAGAAAACCTTCCTTTACTTTGAGGAAATGGACCATTTCATCACCAGTCGAAACACAAGAGTGAAGTAAGAGCGAGGCCTTTCCTGTTGTGTTCACCTGGTGGCCCCTGGAGGCTGCTGTGATGCTGAGGGACACAGAGGAGGGACTGCTCTGACACAGATCTGCTGACCCTCCCTGACCAGTCCTCCTGTTAAACTGACCTGTGTGTGTGTGTGTGTGTGTGTGTGTGCGCACGCGTGTGTGTGACTGACCATGTAGCTGAGCCCAAGCACACAGGCAGGAGCAGGAGCCAGTACCAGTCCCCTGCAGAGCTGAACACCCCCATGAGCAGAGACACCAGCATGCCGTTAAAACCATGGAGCCCCCCACACACCTCTGACCTACAGCACAACAGGGAGAGCAGTCAGCCAGAGAACACTCAACGTAAAGCAGGCCTAGTCCAAAATGGACTTTTCAGAGCTTTAACCATGTTATAGTAATTTCCCCACACCACTGGCCCTCTGAAGTTATGTTAGGTTTGAACAATCTTTAACTGAACAGTCTTTAACTGCTTATATTCAAGATCAACAAGTTTATTTTCTTAAATCAATTATGCATTTAAGAATCAGCAGGATTGTGTTGTCATTTTTGATACTCTACTCTGCACACAGCATGTGGCGCTTTGTTGTGATGACTTTTACAGTGACGTCAGCTACTACTGGACACCACAGTTTTCTAATGAGGAGGTCAGTGGATTTTAAATTTTTTTATTGAGGCTATGTTTATATAATGACGATCTGAACAGAAGATGCAAAAGTGGCGTCACATCTTCACTTTTTATTCCGCGTTTAGATGAGCGTTTTGTGGAATTCGATTGGGTATGCATGCCAGGTGGCTAGGTGGTGCTGTCATACACTATCACACAACACCACTATGTCTGAACACATAGAATCTTCCTTCTTCTCATCTGCACCGTATGTATGTGACGTAAACGCGTACGCAATGTGAGCAGATCTGACCAGTTTTGTGTCTTGGGCAATGTAGATTGAAATGGAGTGTATTCAACTTCTCCACTCTGGAGGGTGGTTTTAGATTTTTGCATTTTTTAGCCCCAAAAATGCCACCACCATCTAAACAAAAGGCACTTCTGATAAAATATGTTGTCGTTTTTACACGCAAGCGCTCTCGTGTAAACAGGCCCTCAGTCGTACTAAACATTACTCTGAACTGTGTAAAAGCTGTTTAGTGGAAGTAGTTAATTCGTGTATCATTTGTTCATTTGTTTTGTAATATAAAACCTAAAATAAGACTTTATTAAACCTAAAATAAGAGTTTCCGTGACTTAAACTGTGATGCCGAACTTTTGCGCCGCATACGGACTGAATCAGGACAAAAATGGGACTAAAAACAGGACTAAACCAGGACTGAACCATTTTCAGTCCCAGTCTGGTCCCCATCTTAGTCCCAGTCTCAGTGCCGGTCTCAATCACGACCTGGTCCTGGTCTGATCCCGGCCTCAGTCCTTGGTCTCAGTCCCAGTTTCAGTTCTGGTCTGGTCCTGGTCTAAGTTCTGGTCTCAGCCCCGATCTGGTCGGACCTGTTTTAGACTTGATTCAGTCCGTATACGGCTCAAAAGTCCCGCATCACAGTTTAAGTCTTGGAAACAGGAAACAGCCATTTTCCTTTTTTTTCTGTTATTTATTTAAACACAAACACTGTTCCCCCAGCAGAGTAACTTGTGTATTTTTATGTGGCAGATTACGCTGCTGCTGCAGCTGCTGTTGTTTCCCTGCTTTCAAATTCTCTCAATCCTCTCTTAAATCTTCTTGAATTCTCTCGCAAAGTCTGATCTCAAAGTTCGCCCATAAGTTCCTTTATCTTTCCACACACCCAGCACTTTACATCTATAAAAAGAGAAAAAAAGAGAGAGAGGAAAAAAAAAACTACTACTACAGCACCTTTTTATACTTGCACAACACTAGCACTTTGGGTACGGAAATCTGGGATTCAACTGGTTGTTTTGGTTTGATTAATCTTTGTTTTTTGCATTACTAATGAGGTTTTGTGTGATTTAGTTTAGTTGAATCTTATATATTAGTTCAAATTTTGTGTGTTAAATTTTACTTTTAAATGTGTTAAAAGGAACTTTTTAAATATTACTAAACTAAATACTGAATTGTATTGTTTCCACTATTTACTGCCTTTGTCCTATGTTTTAGCCAGACTTGCCTGTGTTATAATACATGCTTCACGAATTTCGGACTTTCGGTCATCGCACAATGCATACTGGGAAGGATTTTCTGAAAAAGTGAGCATCAAACCACCATGTTTGTTTTCCCAGTGGGATGCGTCTGTTGACAAAGTCAGTCTTTTCTAGTCTTTTGAACCATATCACTTTTGTTTCTGGTTCTGATATTGTCATATTTTAGTTTTGGGAGTCGGACATCGTAATTGTGTGGTTGTTGGATCCTAACAGTGGAGAACGCTTTTGAGAAATTTGTTTGCAAACTCCATAACCGCAAAAGGGAATCAGATGTGTGTGACTGCAAACCTCCGTTCAAACTGTTTTCCTTCCCAACAGAATTGAAAACTAGTGAGAGTGAAGCGGCATCAAAGCAAAATCCCGATCCCTCACTCAACCTTGGTTACGAATTCAAAAAGTCAACGCCAAAGCGAAAGGCACCAACTGTTCGCCAAGAAAAAACTTCCACTGCAAAACGACCAAGACGTGATGTTGCTGTAAAATCTGTTTGTCTTCTGCACCTCTCACTTAACAAATGGGATCCTGCTTTGATGGCGCTCTACATACAAAATGTTCACTCCAAACTCAGGATGATTTAGGCAGTCAAAGGTTTCCTTTTCGGTCCTTCCTGTGGATCAATCCTGCCCATCACCTTCACCTTTCACTATTTTTAAATTCCACTGGGAAGAGAAACAGTTTGAACAGAGGTTTGCAGTCACACACATCTGATTCCCTTTTGTTCCCTTTATGGAGTTCGAAAACAAATTTCTCGAGCCGTTTTCTGCTGTTAGGACATCCATCACCCACACAATTATGATGTCCAAATCTCAAAACTAAAATGACAATATCAGAACCAGAAACAAAAGCGATGTGGTTCAAAAGACTAGAAAAGACTGGCTTTGTCAATAGACGCATCCCACTGGGAAAACAAACATGGAGATTTGATGCTCACTTTTTCAGAAAATCCTTCCCAGTATGAATTGTGCGATGACCAGAAGTCCGAGATTCTTGATACATCTATTAAATATATGTTAGTGGGGATTTCGTTTTAGCAAAGGGATGAGTGCATAGAAACATGGAGGAACTGACTGAAGTGAAAATGTGCTCTATTTAACTTAAATGAAACCAAACCAAGGCTGTAACTGACAGTAACTTTTGTAACTGTTTCTGTTGAGTAATTATGAAAATAGAATCCAACAAAGGCCAACAGATTTGACTGACACAAAACTAAATTGGGTAAATGAGGGTTGTGCCCTGCCCACCTGCTGTTCCACCTGCTGTTCCACCTGTGACCCTCTGGAAAGTCCATGAGAACATACACTGCAAGGCTAGAACAGCTTTATCCCAACACCTGCGTGAAGTTGGCCGCCATCAAAGGCACACTTACACAAAAACTATGCCAGTCGTTTGTGCTGTTTTGTGCTGCAAGAAGTTTTGTTTGTGCTGCTTTAGTTTTGGAGATATTAATGATTCTTTTATAGGTCAAATTAAGGTCAGCAGCCCCCAGGAAGCTTCAGAATGCTCTAAAACTCCCCAAATGGTGTCAATTGTTTGTGCTTTATTTGTGATGTTTTGTGCTGCAAAAAGTTTCATTTGTGGGATTATGGTTTTTAAGATATTAACAGTTTTATTTTCAGCCGATGAAGTCATCCAGCCCCTTAAAATGTAAAATAGCCTCAAAACAGGCAGAAAATTATATGAAACATTTGAATTTCATTTGTGCTTTTATTTCTAAAATCATTCATTATTATTTTTGTGGCGTTTATATGAAGTCATTTTCTCTGAGCTGACGGCAGTGACTTTAGCAAAACTCCACAAAAATAGTGATAACGATCTGATGGAAAAGTCTGTGTTATTATATAAAATATGAATCAAAAGCAAGTTACTAAAGACTGATACAGACTTTACCACAGCCTGAGATCGTTTCTCTTTACTAGTTTTGTGGGGTTTGTTAAAAACACTGCCTTCAGCTCAGTGAAAATGACGTCATATAATATCCACAAAAATAATAATTAATAATTTTAGAAATATACTAACATAAATGAAAATTGTCACAACACAAACGAAATACAAACGCTGTTTACCATTTTGAGGGGCTGGACGACGTTAATATCTTAAGAACCATATTCACACAACTGAAACTTCTTGCAACACAAAACATCACAAATGTAGCAAAAATGATTAAACACAGTCTTGGCCCATTTTAGAGCATTTTGAAACTTCCTGGGGGCTGCTGACCCTAATTTGACCTATAAAAGAATTGTTAATATCTCCAAAACTAAAGCAGCACAAACTAAACTTTTTTGCAGCACAAATGGAGCACAAATGAATGACATAGATATTGCATAGGTTTGCGTTTGACTTCACGCAGAGTTTTCCCACAGTTATCAGTGTGCTAAATAATTCTCTGCCTTAAATGTTGTGTCTTTCGTAGGTGGTGTGGTGTGTTGGCTTCACTGTCTGGTCTTGTTTGTGTGTTTACATCAGAGGGAGGTGCTTGCTGTAATTTAATAATTTGTTTCTTTCATTCATTGACAGTAAATCCTGTGGACCTGTCCTGGACCTGTCTCACCTGTCCTGTCCGGTGATGATGGCAGTGAGTGTGGAGCACAGCACCCCCACACTCCCCAGCAGTGCCTGCCAGGGGGAGGCCCAGAGGAGCGCGGCCACGATCAAGAGCCCGCTCAGGGGGTTGTTGGCCAGAATGACCCTGGCCACCCCACGGAGCCCCCAGACCAGCAGCTGCAGCCCCCACCACCAGTCTGAAACACAGAGGACACGCTCTGAGCGCTCACGTGCACCAGCGCAACAACAGCACGTCTGACACATCTGCAGTGAAGGAGTTCTGAGGGGGAGGTGGAGAGAACTGGGGTTTTGGCTTTCATAGTCGCCAGATCTTTAGAGAAAAACAAGTGACCAAGCTTACAAAAGAGCCCCAAACAAGAAACTCCTAGTTAAATGTTATTGACATGCACCCAGCTCCTGTGCCTGTGCTTCTGTTTAGTTTTAGTGTTTGGTTCATTTCATTTCATCAGCTCATATGTGAACATTTACACTTTTTTTTAAAATGCAATTTTTCTCTCATAGGGACAAGAGTATCTCTTACATACACCAAACGTAACAACCCTGTACTTTAAAGTGGAACTAAACACTAAATCTACTTTTTCCTCACTACTAAACAGTGTGTATGGTATTTTACTCACATTATCTACTGTGCCTATTGTCCTTTTTGATTATTTTTGTGCAAAAGCGATATGTTTGCAGCTTTCTGGTCATAAACAGTTAAACTGAGTGTGTGCCGCCTCCAGTGGTCATTGCAATTACAAGTACTACGTGACATCACACAGGACTGCCCAGATTATAGACACATGTTTCTGATACAAACAGGGGCAGAGTTTGACAGAGTATTGCCAGGTTTGACTCCCCCAAATTTAAGACCTTTTAAAGACCACTTAGATGAAAATTACAGTATTTTGCAGGCTATTAGGTGCAATCTTAAGCCTCCAACCCCATCAAAAAATGACCACGCACCATGCAATCCAGAGCGCCCTATACACGAATCCACTCAGGTGTCCCAGCATGACTTCAGTAAACTAAAAAGCTGCACCACCCGCGGCGCAGGCAAACACACACGGAGCAGACAGCGACCTCGCAGAGAAAAACACCCACAGACACACTCATCACTCCACGTGGGCGAAGGAACGAACCAAAAAAGCGAGTGCAATGTGCCACTCTAAGCCACAACTGAACAACTGAGTCACTGCGAACACACCGACAATCCGTTGGTCCCAGACAGCACCCTCCCTACACGCCACAACTGAACAAAGCCCAGAGTCATCGAGAACACGCCAAACAAAGTCCCAGAAGTGAACATCTTTTTTGGACCCATGCACCAATGAGCACAGACCACTGAAAACAACACGACACTATCTATTGTTCACCTTCAGATTTGATTATAGTTCTGTGGTTTTCTTGCTAATTCAGCCTCCTTACCACTTTCCGGTGAGAGGGCGGGAACTTTTAACAACCTCAATCTATGATACTTGAGATCAGATTTCCAAATATGGAGCCTGGCTCCAAATTCGCTCCTGTAACCGTGGCAACGGGAACTTCATTCGAGTGGCGCTGGACGCTTTGTGACACTCACATCACACTCACTTAGTCCACTTTTTATACAGTCTATGGTAGAGATTGGCAATTCCAGCGCTGAAATCATCCAAATGATTCTACTGAAGGTGTATGGAGTTTACAAACATCCTGTGTTACCACATGACATCACAAGGTGGAACAAAGTGTTTTCTGTTTGAGAGAAGAACTCAAACATGTTAAACATGTGTGAATGAAACAAAACACTACTCCAGGTCTGTGTGTGATGAGGAAACTACATTATAGCAGAGAGCAGAAAACAGTGTAATATTTAAACCTCTAAACATTTCTCAGATTTGTGTGTCCCAAAAAAAAAAAGTTTTTAAATGTACGGGTGAGAACTTGTAGTACATGTTTTTCCTTGATCTTAGTGAGTACACATTTGTCCTCTGCTGTACTGTTTTTCACATACCAAAGCATGTGTTCCTTACCCTGCACCAGTGTGTCCAGCCACAGCATGTCCCCCGTCCACATGAGCAGTCTGTGGACAAAACCAGTCCTTTTGTCCCCGCTGTCCCCCGCCTCGGCTTTACTGTCCGTCCACATCCTGTTCTCTGTCTCTTGGTTCCTCTGCTTCCACTCGCCCTCCTTTGCCTCCTCTGTCCCCTGCCTTCTCAGGTCCTGTCCTGTCCCTCTCTGGTCCCCGTCCCTCCTCTCCAGTCCCTCGGTCACTTATAAAACAGTACAGCGGTGACAGATTGACGGAGCTCTCAGCCAAAGTCCAGCTGCTCAGGGTCCTCCACATTTCACAATCTCCCTGCTCCAAGCATTCACCACTCCTCCTCTTCCTCCTCCTCCTTCCTCGTCCCCTCTCCCTCCATTCTCCCTTGGCCTCTGCGTGAGTTTAGAACATTGTCCTCAGACTTACCACATAGACAGACACTTGACAGAATAGATTACAATAGATTACTAAGGCCGTCGTCAAGAACTGGATAATTATTTATATCTGATTTCGTAGTTTGATGGTTTGATGCTATTCAACTTTGACTTTGGAAATGATTTCATACAAAGGTTTACAACTCTCTATAATCATCTACATATCAAATGCTTGTCCTCTAAACCAGGGGTCCCCAACCCCCGTGGACCGGTACCGGTACGTGGGTCGTTTGGTACCAGGCCACGAAAGCACAACCCCCCCTTCCTGTATGTCATGTAAACTGCGCCTCCTCCTGTGTTTCCCGTGCCTCTAAATCAGAACTAAAATCAAGACTAAACCAAAACTAAACCAAAACTAAACCAGAACTAAAACCAGGACTAAACCAGAACTAAACCAGGACTAAAATCAATTATAAACCAGGTATAAACCAGGTCGAAAACAGGATTTAACCAGGACTAAACCATCTTGCATGGCTTGTGTCTCCTCCTGTGTTTCCTGCGCCTCTAAACTAGAACTAAAATCATGACTAAACCAGAACTAAACCAAAACTAAAATCAGTTCTAAACCAGGTCTAAGACAGGTCTAAAACCAGGCCTAAAACCAGGACTAAAACAAGATTTAACCAGGACTAATCCATGCTGTGCGGACTGCGTCTCCTCCAGTGTTTCCCACACCTCTAAACTAGAACTAAAATCATGACTAAACCAGAACTAAACCAAAACTAAACCAGAACTAAAACCAGGACCAAACCAGGACTAAAATCTGTTCTAAACCAGGCCTAAAACCAGGACTAAACCAGGACTAAAATAGGATTTAACCAGGACTAAACCATCTTGCGTGGCTTGCATCTCCTCCTGTGTTTCCCGCGCCTCTAAACCAGAACTAAAACCAGGACTAAACCAGAACTAAACCAAGACTAAAATCACTTCTAAACTAGGTCTAAATCCAGGACTCAAACCAGGACTAAAACAGGATTTAACCAGGACTAAATCATGCTGTGTGGACTGCGTCTCCTCCTGTGTTTCCCACACCTCTAAACCAGACCTAAAACCAGGACTAAACCAGAACTAAAACTAGGACTAAACCTGGACTAAAATCAGTCCTAAACCAGGTCTAAACCAAGTATTAAACCAGGACTAAATAAATAATATTGTTGGACATAAAACCCGTCTGTGGCACAGTAAAGGTTGGGGACCACTGCTCTAACCCAAGGGCCCGTCTGTATATATTGAGATTTTGGCTCAGAAAATAAGAAGTAATCTAATCCTCTGTCCTCCCTCTCTGTCCTCTTTCTGTCCTCCCTCTGTCTCCTCTCTCTCCTCTCTTCTCTCTCTCTTCTCTCTCTCTCTCTCTCTCTCTGTCTCTCTCTCTGTCCTCTATCCTCTCTCTATCCTTCTCTATCCTCTCTGTCTCTCTCTCTGTCCTCTCTATCCTCTCTGTCCTCTCTCTGTCCTCTCTCTATCCTTTCTATCCTCTCTCTGTCCTCTCTATCCTCTCTGTCCTCTCTCTGTCCTCTCTCTATCCTTTCTATCCTCTCTCTGTCCTCTCTATTCTCTCTCTGTCCTCCCTCTCTGTCCTCATTCTGTCCTGTTTCTGTCCTCTCTTTCTGTCCTCGTTCTGTCCTCTCTCTGTCCTGTCTCTGCATTCTCTCTGTCCTCTCTGTTATCACTCTGTCCTCTCTCTCTGCACTTTCTCTGTCCTCTCTGTCCTCTCTCTATCCTCTCTCTATCCTCTCTCTCCTCTCTCTGTCCTCTCTGTCCTCTCTCTCTCGTCCTCTCTCTCTCTGTCCTCTCTCTCTCTATCCTCTCTGCTCTCTCTCTCTGTCCTAACTCTGCTCTCTCTCTGTCTCCTCTCTCTGTCCTCTCTCTATCCTCTCTCTGTGTCCTCTCTCTATCCTCTCTCTGTCCTCTCTGTGTCCTCTCTCTGCCCTTTCTGCACTCTCTCTGTCTTCTCTGTCATGTCTCTGTTCTCTCTCTCTGTCCTGACTCTGCCCTCTCTTTGTCTTCTCTATCCTCTCTCTGTCCTCTTTCTGTGTCCTCTCTCTGTGTCCTCTCTCTGTGTCCTCTCTCTGTGTCCTCTCTGTGTCCTCTGTGTCCTCTCTCTGTGTCCTCTTTCTGTGTCCTCTCTCTGTGTCCTCTTTCTGTGTCCTCTCTCTGTGTCCTCTTTCTGTGTCCTCTCTCTGTGTCCTCTTCTCTGTGTCCTCTCTCCTGTGTCCTCTTTCTGTGTCCTCTTTCTGTGTCCTCTCTCTGTGTCCTCTTTCTGTGTCCTCTCTCTGTGTCCTCTCTTTCTGTGTCCTCTCTCTGTGTCCTCTCTGTGTCCTCTTTCTGTGTCCTCTTCTCCTCTCTCGTGTCCTCTCTGTGTCCTCTTCTGTGTCTCTCTCTGTGTCCTCTCTCTGTGTCCTCTCTGTGTCCTGTGTCCTCTTGTCCTGTCCTCTCTGTGTGTCCTCTCTCTGTGTCCTCTCTCTGTGTCCTCTCTCTCTGTGTCCTCTCTGTGTCCTCTTTCTGTGTCCTCTCTCTGTGTCCTCTTTCTGTGTCCTGTGTCCTCTCTCTGTGTCCTCTCTCTGTGTCCTCTCTCTGTGTCCTCTTTCTGTGTCCTCTTTCTCTGTGTCCTCTCTGTGTCCTCTCTCTGTGTCCTCTCTGTGTCCTCTCTCTGTGTCCTCTTTCTGTGTCCTCTCTCTGTGTCCTCTCTCTGTGTCCTCTCTCTGTGTCCTCTCTCTGTGTCCTCTCTCTGTCCTCTTGCTGTTATTTGCAGAGCAGAGCTACTGATCCATCTTTTATTGCCGGTCCAGTGTGTGTGTTTGTCTTTCCCTGGCGCTCAGCTCCATTAGGCCTCCGGGTTATCTTTAGTTTAACTTTAGTTTATCTACACGTCTAATGTGTAACTGCTCATCTGTGCACACACACACACATACATGCACACACACATGCACACACACACACACACACACATACATGCACACACACATGCACACACACACACACACATGCACACACACACATGCACACACACACATGCACACACACATGCACACACACACTAAATCAACGTAAACAGACGTATAGTACTTGTGTGTTCTCTATATCCTACGTGTATCACAGATTAAGAAAAAAACAAAAACTGGAGAACAAAGTGTGTAAGTCAAAACATGCACGAATCACTCCAAATACAACTTCAGGTGAGTAAATGGTGAAGAGAAACAACTATAACATGGTTAAAAGCTCTGAAAAAGTCAATTTTGCCGAATATGTCTGATAGAGCTCTAAAATGACTTGAAGGTGCTGTACCAGAGATTTACTGTTTAAAATGTGAAAAACAGAAATATTTCATTTTAAACAGTTTGGGGTGGTTCAAAGTTCTTCCTCACTTACCTTCTGCAGTCTGAGCATCCTAATGATTCACCATGATGAGTTTATAAGAGACCAGAGAGTTTTGCTGTAATGATAAAACTAACAACAACTAACATCGGGCAGTAAAAGCAATGGATCCCAGGAGACACAGTTTTGACAGAACAAAGGACTGGGTCCATGAGAATGAGACAAGATGAGATTTTGACATTATAATAAATAAATTGTGTGGTTCAGTTCACAATTTTGGTGTCATCATGTTTTACTTTATTTAACATACACTGCTCAAAATGTGTTGGATATATATACAAATATGGACAGGGCAATGTCTTAGGAAAAAAAGGATGCTCCTCTTTTAATGGAAATGATGTTTTCAGTCCACAGAAGGCTTCATTTTATAGACACTGTCAAAATCAAAGTGAAAGAATGATTTTGCCAATATTTAATTACATGCTGTCTTGTGGAATGTCCTCCTAGATTTGTGTTAGAGCATCACTGAGCTCCTGTAGAGTCTGAGGAGCAACCTGGCGACATCTGATGAATCCAAACATGTCCCAGAGGTTTTCTATCAGGTTTAAGTCAGGTCATCATGAGGGCCATTCAGTTGTATCGACCCCTTCATCCTCCAGGTTCTGCCTGCAGACTCTTGCCACATGAGGCCGGGCACTGCTGTGCATCAGGAGGAACCCAGGAACTACTGCACCAGCACAGGGTCTGACAGTGGGTTCAAGGATGATGTTGAGGGCAGCAGAGCATTCTTCTTGTCTTCTCCACACTCTTTCACGTCTGTCATGGGTGCTCAGGGTGAACCTGCTCTCATCTGTGAAAATCACAGGGCATCAGTAGCAGATTTGCCAATTCTGGTGTCGTCCAGAAAATGCCAATGGAGCTCCACGGGGCTCGGCGCTGAGCACAGGGCCCACTACAGGACATGGGGCCCTCAAGTCACCCTCTTGAAGTCTGTTCCTGATTGTTTGGGCTTAGGCATTCACACCAGTGTCCTGCTGGAGGTCACTGTGTAGGGCACAGGCAGTGCTCAGTCTGTTCCTCCTGCACAAAGGAGCAGATGCGTATCCTGCTGATGGGTTGAGGACTTTCTACGTCCAGCTCTCCTAGAGGAACTACTTATCTCCTGAAATCTCCTCCATATTCTGGAGATTGTACTAAATCACCTCACAACCGCACATCCAGAAGTAACACCCTGGAGAAGTTGGACAATCTGTGCAGTTTCTGTAGGGTTCAGGAATGGCCTCATAGTCCCACTAGTGATAATCATGGAGCCAAAGCAGCACGAGTGGAAAACCAGCCAAAAAAAGATCAAGAGG